GCCCGGTCAGAAACCTGCTATCAGGGCCATATGTAACACGACGTTACATTTTTGATCAGGGCGCTGTCAGGCTGCCTTAACAAGACCTTATCAGGCAACAGGACAAAACCTAACGCCCCCTTCTTAGGGCCGTGTTTGATTTTCTACTCGGGATACTTTTGGCCATTGATACTTTTTCCATTTCTAAGTTTTGTGGTTTCTTTTTATGTGTGAAAGCGCACCCAGAGACGGGCTACGCGTCTTTATGCGCTCTTCTACCTAAGCATGTACTTTCCAAGCATAATTTTTCTAGTTATGTTTTTATTTATTTTATACTAAACATTTATATATATAAGACATATTACGTCTAAAATATCATATGTGTAAACTATACCCGATGAATCAAAAAACGATGGTTTAGTAATGAAACTTTTTATTCATAACTTTTCACCGACCCGGTAAAAAATTTTTTATGTATAAAATTGTATGGACATATTCGGTATATAAATTTGCATAATTAGATATAATTTTAATTTGTGTATAAGTATATGTGATTATATATCAAAACTTTTTTAAAAATATAGTAAAAATATAGTTTTATATAATTTTTTGTATCTAACATGATACTAATAGTTATTTTGTAATTTGATATGGAATATCTCTTAAGCCATTTTCTTAAAAAAGAAATTCTTTGTGTATAAAATTGTATGGACATATTTGGCATATAAATTTGCATAATTAGATATAATTATTTTAATTTGTGTATAAGTATATATAAAAAAATTTTTACCGGGGAAGAACAAGCGACAACTAAAAGCTTCGATGTGTACTCAAAGACATTGTCTTGACAACATGTGTCAAGGTCATTGAAATCGGTAAAGTCGGTTAATATGCAAATTTACCACTATTCTTTTTTATTAAGAACTTTTTAATGAACAGTAAGCATTACTTAAAATCTTTTGAAGATCACTTAAAGCCATTACCTTGATAACATTTGTCAAAATCAAATCAGCTTGTCAGAAGCTGCTTTTCTTATCGGCATATTTACTCTCACTGTGCTTAATAATTTTATATTAAAGTATTTTCCGAATACTCAATTGTTGTCGAGATATAAACAAAAAAGTCAAAATAAAAATATAGAACAAATCTTTTTACTATTACAATAAGTGTTCAAAATATTCACTGTTATTCCAGACATGTTTGTCATTTTCTTGGAAAGCTTGCTTGGATTTCTTCTATCTCTTGACCGGTTATTTCGCGCGCGCGCACAAAATATTTTACTATCATACCCGGATTTTCATACGAAAAACATTAATTTTGTTATAAATATATTACTTGGCAACGGTTACTCTCTAAATTTCATTTTTGACAATATTAACAGGATTAAAAAATTTATTTCTAAAAAAATCAATAAATCTTTTGACATTACCACTCCTAAACCCACAATGATAGACAATCTAATTATTTGATTAATAACTATTCCCTATATTAAGAATCTTTCTGAAAACATTTCACATGTGTTTAACAAAAAAGATAATATTATAGGCTACAAATGCTTACTTAGATTGAATAGAATTATTAAAACTCAAAAGGACCGTACTCCTCATATGGGGTTAACAATAATGTAATCTATAAAATTAATTGTGTAAATTGTTGTGCGTCTTACGTGGGACAAACTAAGAGACAGCTAAAAACAAGAAC